AGAATGAAATTTATTAGAATGAAATTAACAAAATTAGAAATTAAATTATACACTTTCGAATGAAATTTTGACTATTAGAAAGTAAAGAACGTAAAAGCCCCTTATCGGATTTGAACCGATGACTTACGCCTTACCATGGCGTTACTCTACCACTGAGTTAAAAGGGCCGTCTTGGTTTAATTCCCGACTGAGTGGGTAGGTAAATAAAATCTATCTATATATATATTAAATATATATACAATAGACGCATAGTGGTTAGTAGCTCATTTCGGAACTAGAAATGAGAATTTGAATTTACTTCAAAATTACTTAACGGGGTATTTTTTGCTTTTTTAATATTGGATTTGATAAATATCCATGCAATGCATTTTTTTTTGAAATTGCCTACCGCATCGAAATCGAACGAAATTCATTTGATTTATACATGTACTCAGCAAGTTGACATACACCCAAGATATTTTATCTTGACATGTGATGAAGAGATACGGATTATCCTCTGAACAATCATTTTCTAAAAAAAAAGCAAATTTTCGATAACTTAACTTATAAATCCACCTTTCTTCTCTAATTAGAAGATGGATTCTGGCTGACTTTCTTGGATTAGTGTTAGACAGGGATACTACTATTTCTTAACAATGAGACGAGGCAATCTATGAAGGAAAGTAAAAAAAAAACGAAACTTAACCCTCGTTTTTCTTTTTTTTTTGTTAGACCAATCACTTCTTGAAAAGATTCCGTACTAGAACTAGACGATTTTTAGATTTTTTTTATTTAATTATTTAATATAAAATTTCCACTTCAAATATAAAAAGAAAATATATCGATTTGTTATAGAATTATGATTAGAATATGAATACAAATGTAAAATAAAAAAATGATATAGAATTCTATAGAAAAACGAAAAAACCTTATAAGCTAGTCATACCATTTCATTATATTGACAATTTTAAAAAACTGATCATACTATGATCATAGTATGATGGCGGTTGAGCAAGTATGCCCCCATCGTCTAGTGGTTCAGGACATCTCTCTTTCAAGGAGGCAGCGGGGATTCGACTTCCCCTGGGGGTAGGGTACTACGAAAGGAAGTTGATCATGGATTATCCATAACGTTAGAATAGATTCTTCCTGGGTCGATGCCCGAGCGGTTAATGGGGACGGACTGTAAATTCGTTGGCAATATGTCTACGCTGGTTCAAATCCAGCTCGGCCCAATAATTAGCTGTCTACATAACCCTTTTTGTTTTGCATAAATGACAGAGAAGGGTAAGAAAAAAGGTCAAATTTCAGGGTATAGTTCGACTTTACTTTTGTCTTTATTTCTTGTGTTTAGTTACCTTTTTTTCCATAAAAAATTCCGATCTTCATCTTGCTAAGGATTCCGATATGGATCCTTTAAATAGAAACTTTAATGAACAGAGTCGAGAAAATAATCTATTAAAAAAAAAAAATAGATTATCAATTGATTTGATAATAATGCAAGGATTACCCAGTAATCCGTCTTGTTCTCACTAAAGTGATATCCATATAGATATCAATATATCACTTGTGACTTTCTTTGTTACAAAACAAAAATTTGATTTTAAAATTGAAATGATTAAAATGAAATCATAAGAAGGAATATGTAAGCTACCCACTTGATTTCCATGGGATTGTAGTTCAATTGGTCAGAGCACCGCCCTGTCAAGGCGGAAGCTGCGGGTTCGAGCCCCGTCAGTCCCGGCGGATTCAATACATCAACTCCCCTTTTTGTTTCTGGGCAAGGGGATGAAAATAGTTTCGTTTATCTTTTTATTTTATTTTTCTTTTTTCATAAAGCAAAAGAAAGGGTCGATTATTTTAACTAGGGTAGAGAGACATATGTAAATGAATTATTGAGAACATTCAACACTTCAAGAAAGAGATACTGTAAGGGGTTTCCGCTTTTTGTCAACCGCTCTCCCATAAATTTGTGTAGGAAAATGGAATAGGATAGCGTATAATACATTTGCCAAGAGTACCTATATATACTTTTCTTTCTCTGAAGTAAAGGAATTTTAAATAGTTCGAATCCAACCAAGGAAAGAGGTTTTTTTTATAAAGATAAAACGTGTCTTCCCTAATGAATATGTGAATATGCTCTTTTTAAAGATTAGAGGCGATGTCGAATAAAAAACTCGTAAGAAAAATTAACGAGTTAATTTTTTTGAATATTTTTGTTTTTTACTGGGACTCGTCTTTGTCACATTCCCTTTCTTTGTTTTCCAAAAAGATGATAAACCCTTTCAATTTTTTTATTTCAAAGTGAACTTCGTACTTGTTTTCTCTATATTGATTTCTATTGTTTATTTAAGGTTCTTTAGAAACTCTTTTTGTAAAGAATCGAAGTTTTTTATGATACTTCATCAGATTATTGTACAAGGAAAGTAAACTACTAGGTTTTAGAAAGGAAAGCCGGTAAAAAGAATCATAAATAACTTTTTTTTTATTGGATCAGGAATCTCATTATGTATTCGGTGTGGATAAAAGATCTTCCTATGTTATACTATTAAATTCTTGACGATGAATCGATTTTATAGCTCCGATATTGTTATTCATGATATTTCTTTCATTCGATATCATCGAAATCTAATTCATCTGAGTGAGTTTACAAGCGAAAGATTTCTCATCTCTATGGGATTAAATCCCGAGATATTAAAAAAAAAAAATAATAATAATAAACGATTAAATTATGGAAGTAAATATTCTTGCATTTATTGCTACCGCACTCTTCATTCTCGTTCCTACTGCTTTTTTGCTTATAATTTACGTAAAAACCATTAGTCAAAATGATTAATTTGAATCTAATTTTACTATCAATGAAAAAAAAAAAAGATTTCAATTTCTCGTCTTAAATGAAAGGAATGCATTAGACTCAGTAGTAGTATCCTAAGGGGTCCGCTAGTATGGTAGAAGGAGATCTCTTTCTACCATACTAGCCATTATGGTTATTGTAATGTATAAAGATACAAGTGAAATATCTTAATATAAAAGAATCCGCCTATATCTCTCTTTTTATTTATAAACGTCAATATAAATGAAATAGAATATGAAATGTATGTACATACTTTGTCAATTTCATTTGTTTGTTTGATCCATTTAATACAGATAATCCCAATTCGATGGAAGCTTCTTCAGATTTCGAAAGGGGTTACCCCATGAATGGTTAACCGTGTAAACCCTGATATAAAAATAGAAAATGAGTCAATAAAACATAAATCCAATTTATAAAAAAAAATCTTAAAAAAAATTGCCGAACGGTCTAGAAAACGAAAACAATTGATACAGGTTGATAGAGTTTGATTATTACCGCAATTAGAAGTATTTCTAGAGTCCACTTCTTCCCCACACTACGAGAGAGAGGGAAAATGTAAAAACTACCATTAAAGCAGCCCATGCGAGACTTACTATATCCATGTGAATTCTGCCCCCTATTTCTATGAATATGAAGAAACTATTCCATTATTGTTCACTAATAATAGTGAAATCACTGGTGCAGAGTCAAAAAAAAGGGAGAGGTATTTGGTCACCATTGATGAACTACTCCAAAAACCCACTTATCTTATAACTTATAATGAGTTATTATTTTTCTTATTATAGAATTTCTAGTAGAATCGACAAGATGTAAACACAAGCAAACGGACATTTTTAGAAGTATCCAAGGAATCTGACTCACATGTAGAAAGAAGAAGACTTTTTCTTTCTTTTATCGTTTTTTATTTTTGGAAGTAAAATGAAAGACAATTCTTCATCTAATCTAATCTTGATTGAATGTCTGAGCATTCCGAGACTTTCATGAGTCTATATCCAAAGTATCTTAGGTCCTTTCCAAAACTATTAATTTAATTCCCTCTCTGGCTATCCAATCTAATTGAAGACTCAGTAAGTGGAACTAAATTAGTAGTGGCAAGTAAAGATTTACAGATTTCCCTCCACTACTTCAAGTTTTCCTTGAATCTGATAGGCAAAACTTTAGGTTAGAGAATAGAACCTCGAGAGCCAGGGGCTTAGAATAACGAAAAGAAAGTATAAAGAGTCTTATCCTACGTTTTCCTACGTTTGTTATTTAAAGTCTGTTGTTGAGGCGGCACCCGGATTTGAACTGGGGAAAAAGGATTTGCAGTCCCCCGCCTTACCACTCGGCCATGCCGCCAAAACGATAGAAACTAGATTCCAATTTTCTTTTTTTTCAACTCCGAAAAAAAAATATATATAGATTTTCAGTCATAAAATATAGAATCTAGTACAAACCAGAACCATTAACTATTGACTGTAAATTCATGACCATTTTTGAATTAAAATTAAAATCTACATTTTTTTATTTCTAATAATATTAAGAAAATCATTAGAAATGCATTTATAACTAATCTATATTGAGTTTTTTTGAATTAAAAATAAATCTTCTTCAATTTCAATTATAACAGTAATGATGAGTATATGTAAACCCCAGAATCAGAACATACGTTACGTTGTGTTATAGAGCTGGAGCTCTATAATGGGGTATTTTATCTCTCTAGGGATGCTTTTGAGGAGTAATTCTCAATAAATTTTTATATTTCAACTTTTCCCTTGAAGAGAACATTTCCTTTTTGATAGAGCACAGCATGCGCTGTCCCAAATAGAACTGTACCACAATAAAAGAAGAAAAAGAGACATATATATCTGTGCATTCTTTTTTATTTTAATAATAAAAAAATTAATAAATAAAAAAACACAAGTTTTCTTACCTACTTCAATTCAATGATATTCTAACTATTCTATTAAAAATAGGTAAAAATAAATCTCTTTTCTGCAAATATTTTTTTGAACAATGAAATACAAATACATGAAAAAGTAAAGTGGTTAAAAAAAAAGTTTTCTATTTATTAGATGTTTATCTGCTTGAACAGATCCAATGATGAATACATTTTTTATGGTATGCAATCGAATTGGAATATGTAATATCATAGGTGAAAATGAAATTACTTTTTTTTTTCTAGTCTTTACAAAACTCCGTAAGTTTCAGTGGTATTTCTCAATTCTGTTCCATTTGGATCTATTTCTTATAAAAAATTCCAATTGAATATAGTCTCCGTTCATACGTATTTCATACATTCCATATATCTTGGAGTTGGATAAAATTTCATGTGATTCAGTAAACAGAATAGAAATTCCATTATTGCTAGATCGAATTCTATGGATATGATTCGGTGAAGAATGAGAGATGGGATGGGATTTTTTCAATAAACGGATAAATGGGAAATTCAAAAAAGATGCTTGGGGATGAAAAAGAGGGAACATCTACAATACCCGGATTTAATCAGATACAATTTGAAGGGTTTTATCGGTTTATTGATCAGGGTTTAATAGAAGAACTTTCTAAGTTTCCAAAAATTGAAGATATAGATCACGAAATTGAATTTCAATTATTTGTGGAAACATATCAATTGGTAGAACCTCTGATAAAAGAACGAGATGCTGTCTATGAATCACTTACATATTCTTCTGAATTATATGTATCCGCGGGATTAATTTGGAAAACCAGTAGGAATATGCAAGAACAAATAATTTTTATTGGAAACATTCCTTTAATGAATTCCCTTGGAACTTCTATAGTAAACGGAATTTACAGAATTGTGATCAATCAAATATTGCAAAGTCCCGGTATCTATTACCAGTCAGAATTGGATCATAATGGGATTTCGGTCTATACCGGCACCATAATATCAGATTGGGGAGGCAGGTTAGAATTAGAGATTGATAAAAAAGCAAGAATATGGGCTCGGGTGAGTAGGAAACAAAAAATATCTATTCTAGTTCTATCATCAGCTATGGGTTTGAATCTACGAGAAATTCTAGAGAATGTTTGCTACCCTGAAATTTTCTTATCTTTCTTGACCGATAAGGAGAAAAAAAAAATAGGGTCAAAAGAAAATGCTATTTTGGAGTTTTATCAACAATTTTCTTGTGTAGGTGGGGATCCAATATTTTCTGAATCCTTATGTAAGGAATTACAAAAAAAATTCTTTCACCAAAGGTGTGAATTAGGAAGGATTGGTCGCCGAAATATTAATTGGAGACTAAATCTTAATATACCTCAGAACAATATATTTTTGTTACCACGAGATATATTAGCAGCTGCCGATCATTTGATTGGGATGAAATTTGGAATGGGTACACTTGATGATATGAATCATTTGAAAAATAAACGTATTCGCTCTGTAGCGGATCTTTTACAAGACCAGCTTGGGTTGGCTCTGGCTCGTTTAGAAAATGTAGTTAAGGGAACTATCTCCGGAGCAATTAGGCATAAATTGATACCTACTCCTCAGAATTTGGTAACTTCAACTCCGTTAACAACTACTTATGAATCCTTTTTCGGATTACACCCATTATCTCAAGTTTTGGATCGAACTAATCCATTGACACAAATCGTTCATGGGAGAAAATTGAGTTATTTGGGCCCTGGCGGATTAACAGGGCGAACTGCTAATTTTCGGATACGAGATATCCATCCTAGTCACTATGGGCGTATTTGTCCCATTGACACGTCTGAAGGAATCAATGTTGGACTTATTGGATCTTTATCAATTCATGCCAGGATTGGTGATTGGGGGTCGTTAGAAAGTCCATTTTATGAACTCTTTGAGAAATCAAAAAAAGCACGGATACGGATGCTTTTTTTATCACCAAGTCAAGATGAATATTATATGATAGCGGCAGGAAATTCTTTGGCTCTTAATCGGGGCATTCAAGAAGAACAGGCTGTTCCAGCTCGATACCGCCAAGAATTTTTGACTATCGCATGGGAAGAGGTTCATCTTCGAAGCATTTTCCCTTTCCAATATTTTTCCATTGGAGCTTCTCTAATTCCTTTTATCGAACATAATGATGCGAATCGAGCTTTAATGAGTTCTAATATGCAACGTCAAGCAGTTCCACTTTCTCGGTCCGAAAAGTGCATTGTTGGAACTGGGTTGGAACGCCAAGTGGCTTTAGATTCAGGGGTTCCCGCTATAGCCGAACACGAGGGAAAAATCCTTTATACTGACACTGAGAAGATCGTTTTTTCGGGCAATGGGGATACTCTAAGCATTCCATTAATTATGTATCAACGCTCAAACAAAAATACTTGTATGCATCAAAAACCTCAGGTTCGGCGGGGTAAATGCATTAAAAAGGGACAAATTTTAGCGGATGGTGCTGCTACAGTTGGTGGGGAACTCGCTTTGGGGAAAAATATATTAGTGGCTTATATGCCATGGGAAGGATACAATTTTGAAGATGCGGTACTCATTAGTGAGTGTCTAGTATATGGTGATATTTATACTTCTTTCCACATACGGAAATATGAAATTCAGACGCATGTGACAACCCAAGGTCCTGAAAGGATCACTAAAGAAATACCGCATCTAGAAGGCCGTTTACTCCGAAATTTAGACAAAAATGGAATTGTGATGCTAGGATCGTGGGTTGAAACAGGTGATATTTTAGTAGGTAAATTAACACCTCAAGTGGCGAAAGAATCCTCCTATGCTCCGGAAGATAGGTTATTACGAGCCATACTTGGCATTCAGGTATCGACTTCAAAAGAAACTTGTTTAAAATTGCCTATAGGTGGTAGAGGTCGAGTTATTGATGTGAGGTGGGTTCAGAAAAAGGGGGGTTCAAGTTATAACCCAGAAATAAT